TCAGCCTGCATCTATGGGAAGAACTTACGGACAATTCGGTCATATGATATTGGTGTTCTGGCACAGAGCTTTGAGCAACACCTTCATACGTACTGAAGCACCTGGCACTTCGGTAGATGCTGAAATTCAGTTCTGGTGCATTTCTTCGAGCCGCAGGTTTTCAGGGTGATCCTTTCTTGCCCTTCTTGCCATACTACAGTTACTAGCAAATACTCTTTACTTGTCAGCCCGTTGGGCCTTATGGACGCGGCGAGACTCCCATAAGACATCGGATGGCAGACGACTCCTTCTGTCGTGCCTCGCAATCATGTGCTGGTTTCTTCTTGGGCGGCCAGCGAGTGATTTACCACAGCCGCGGAACCAAGAAAGCCTTAAGGCAATCAACTTCCTGTCTCGATGCAGGTCATTGGAAGACATGGTGAGCCTTTCCTGGACCATCCAGGCTGGACGCATCCGCAGCTAGATGCCGCCCTCGTTCGTGCGGCTCTAGCCGGGTGCGCTAGGGGCGTTTCCTGGACCATCCAGGCTGGACGCATCCGCAGCTAGATGCCGCCCTCGTTCGCGCGGCTCTAGCCGAGTGCGCTAGTGCGACCGCCGCCTCAGTCAAACGCCATCGGGTGTTTGGGTAGAATCTGGTTCTACTTGTATCTGGTTTAGTTTGTCAATTCACCTTGCTAGGCGGCCGCATCCTATTGTTTGGATATCTACAAATGACATGTTCCTGAAGCACAGACGTGCCGAGAAGCAATGCGCAGTCGAAAAGTGCCTGATGCTTTGCTGAGATCACCGTCGGATCTTAACATTTGTTGCATGATAGCATCAAGCAACATCTGCAGCAGGATGCATCCTTGAACGGCGACATCCGAGGTGCGCCAACGCACTATCTCTCGCACTGCAGTTGCACTTGCAAGAACGATGCCCGAGAAAGTTACTCGAATTACTGGCCAAGCAATGCTTTGATGCAGGTGCACCCACTTCGTCGGCACCCCGGGGCTGGAGATGTGATCTGAAGAATTGAAGTGCAAGCAGGCGTCTCATATTCTTAGGCAAAGCAGGGCGATGTCGCTTCAGGCGGGCATAGGTCATGCCATGCCCTTCACGTGATGACACAGAAGCCTCCAGGAATCCTTCAGGTCCGAGGCTCGGAGCTCATTCCTGGCTTTACACTTCACGGCCCATTGCTCAGGCAGAGCAATTCACCGGGGCAGGAGGCTTGCAGTCCATCGAGGTACTTCGAGGCGTGAAGCTTCTCACTTAAGTGCATTCGGTTTCTGTGCCCGGAAGCTGGCTGGAGGAGGACACCTACCCTTCGAGTCCGCAGGATACAGGGCCTGGGCCAAAGCTGCCGGACCCTTTGAAAACTTTGGGGTTATTCGCATTTGTCTCCAGAATGTTCGAGCAGCAAGCAGCTGCGCCTCCCAGCACTGGAAAGCAGTCCCAGGCAGTGTGGAGAGTGGGGGAAGAGCGGGGCGAAGCCAGTTTTGTCAACGGCAACATTTCCTTTTCTAGGAGCTCTTGCGCGAGATGAGACGTCTGAGGTGCGTCGAAGATTTGTTGGTGCCCAGTAAAACCGTCACTGCGAAGAGCGGAGACTGGCAGAGGCAGCAGATGGAGCAAATGGCCGAGCTGGAGAAGCTTGCGGCTGGACGAGACCCTGGTGGGCGGGGACCACTCTTCATATGAACCCAAAACCATTGCAGGAAGTCCGTTCTTTATCCAGCTGTTTGTGCATTCAACTGTCTGTCCGTCTATCTGTCCATCTAATTATCAGTGTTTCTGTCCATCCGTTTGTCAGTACTTCGGGTCCTACAGAGAAGCCTCGCAAATCCATACTTCGGCTCCATCTGTGCTCTTGCTTGTGAACGAGAATAGAACGAGGTGACTCCCTTGATTACGGCACACAGCACGCAGGCAGAAACTCGTACTGACACACCCACAGGCCGAGCCCACCCCCCCGTGTGCACCTTAAACCTGAAGCTGCAAAGCTGCAGGGTTCCCAACTGACAAGCTTGGAGCGATGAGCAGGCCCTGTTGCTCTTGTTCATGCCTTCTTGTGGGAATGACAATGGAATTCTGTCATACTCGGTTGAAGTTCCCTTGCCAGTCTGAGTATGTCAAGTGGATCGCGGCCGAGTGTCTCCAACAACGCACAGGCAAGCTGCAGCACGTCACACCCCTACCGCACGAAGCTGCCTTTAGCCAACGTCGCGATTACTGTCTGCTTTCCGTCGTTCATGCGGCTGTTTGGTGTAAAGCATCGGTGACTCGTCGTAAATGCCAACACTGCGCTGGAGGGACCTGGGCAATGGAGCCCCATGGCAGATCGGTCAGGCCGGCGACAGCCTGTGGCGTAACAGAGGCACTCACTGGATTCCTGCAATTCCTGACAAGGCCCGAGTGCGACGACGGCTCAGTTTCTTGCGCATTCCCTGGGAGCTGTTCGCGACTTGGGCAACTCAGGCGACGGGTCTTTCGTCCTCATGCCCTTTCTGAGTCTCATCTGGGAAGTACACCTTTCCCTGCACAGGCTGCCGACTGTCTCTCTCTGTGTGTGTGTCTGTGTGTGTGTGTGGGGGTGGGAGCAGCTGTCCTTTTGAATTGTGGTTCCGATATGTGTCCTGAGTTGTGCGTACGGCATACATGGCTCCAGGATGGAATACTCTCCGCGTGCATCACACAGCCCTTGCTTTCGAATACTGCAAGTTGAAAGTCTCTAGTTATTCCGAGTCATCCTGCACCATCCCCAAGGTGGGAATACCGACCGCACGAGGACGACCCAGTTGATGCTGCCGTCACGGGCCAAGATCTCTGAGCTTTCCTTCATCGTCAGCTTGCGAGAGTGATATCACTCGCCTTCGGTCGTCCAAAGGTCCCATATGGTCCATTGAACTAAGCTTCAGTACTAGCACATGAGGAGAACCAAGCACACTGCAACCAGGCGAGTCGCAAGCATGAAACCATTCAATGAAATATCTCAAAAGTAAGTTGACACTTGCGCAGAGCGCTCAAGCGGACTTGCAACGCAAAGTCAATGCCACTGTGTTTTGCAGTTTGTGTTGGTGCATCATTCGAAATCCCTGTGCTCGTCTTTGTGTCAGGGTCGAGAGGGACGAGAACGGGGAAATGTACGGCGAGGGCTAGAGCTAGAGTCCGAAGGTTCCGAGGCTTCCATGCTTTGAGGCAGGCTTTTCGTAGGCTTTGCCATTCATTCATGACGGTCGCACTGACGGCGACCCAGCTCATATACTCTTGGACACTCCCGGCGTATGCACTAAGAAACAGGAATGTATTTCGAGGGGGGGGGGGGAGTATACCCCCCCTGTTCTGTGAAAAACGTTATTGAACCCGGACCGTGTATTGCTGGACTAGACAGCCCCCTACTTTCGTTACTCTTCCGTGCACGTGTTGCCCCAGGCTCTTCTAACATTGTCGGTCTCACGACGAGAAAGACAGCAGGTGAGATGATCGTTGTGGAACCCCGGAAAGCCAAGAGTGTGAAAGGGCAGTCGCAGGGAGCGTGTGGCAGCCTTCTTTGTCGGAGTCACCAGAAAGTTAGCTTTACCGCAAGAAGGTTGCTCGGCTGGTGAACCGTGGACGCTATAGAGCCTGGAGAGCACTCCTTTGCCGCAGAGACCTGAGAAAAAACTCCGAGACTCAGCTCCAGTGCCGTGAGCTGCCGTGCTGAGGACTGGAACACGGGGTGTACCTGTGCGGAACAAAGAGAGCCAGGAGCTCAGCCACCGTCATGCAACTCAAGACGGGCCATGCGCCAAGTGAAGATAAGTGAAGAGATGCCTATGCCCTAGACCGACACTATCCTAAGAACACACTCCGCTGGGCAACTTGGTCGTGGCTGTACTGTACTGTACTGCTCCTTGGAGTTTGCACTTCTCCGAGGGACAACTGACAGAGAGCACTTAGCATGCTGCCGGTGTGATGGGATGTTTTCGCTGCATCTCTAAAGTTGTGAAAGTCGGAGGGAACGACGACTTCAATGAAGACGACGGCGACCCGCCAAAACGACAACGGCGACGACGACGACGACGGCCACGGCAATCCGCAAGTGGCATTCGCATCTGGGTTGATCTTTCCCATGATGCTCTCATCTTGCCGATCAAGCATGGAAACGGTTCTATCATTCGACGTCTTCAGCGCACCCGTTATGTCAGATTCCAGGCGGGCTGTGCCGAACTGGCGAAGGGGGCGGTGCAGCAGGGAAAAGTGCAAAAACATATGCTTGCAACGTTGTTGAGCTCGTTGATGAATCACGCATGTATCCGCAGGGCAGGATGCCGAGTGTCAGCAGGTGCACATCCGTGTGGACGAGGAGCAAGGGCTGCTAGAGGCAGGGGTTGGTCCGTGACGGAGGGGGAACTGCCGTGCAAGTGGCAAGATGCCGGTATGGAGCAGATTGAGCGCCGAGCAGTATCCAGGAAATCTAGGGCGGTTTCGAAGCTACCATTCACACTGATGATTCATTGACTCAGAAGCAGCGAAGCGCGAGACCACATGTCATCCGAGCCCGGGACGCCAGGCATCGAAGGATGGTGGAAGGACGTGGGCTGATTTGAGAGAGATCGTGACCTGACAAAAGTCATTCGGAAGCATTCAGTTACCGGGCATTGAGTCGTAGCCCCTTCTAAGATGGAGAGAAGCCACATTCTCGCTTTCTAGCAGGGAGCGTCGAGCCTCAAGCCGTGGGTGGCTGCAGGCCAAAGCCGCTGTCGGACCACCCTGGGCCCCTGGCCCAGGGACATCGTACCATAGTTTCACAGACAGACTCCGCGATGGAGAGAAAAGAAGTCCTTAGCAATCCCATCAGCGATTGGCGGATAAGCCAAAAGCCAAACCGTCTACATTCGGGCTCCGGCTCTGCGAGCGCAATGACGGGATCCCTTGTAGCGATGTCTTAGAGAGAAAGCGATGGCCAAACTAGGCTCACGCAGCCTCTCGGTACATACGAGCATGCTTTGCAAGTCGACTGCAGGCTGGCCTGCTTGATGTCCTTGGGAACCCCGGCAAGTATCTGGCTTGCAAACAGACTGCAAGAGATCGCGATAGCTCCAGCGCGAAGCATGCCTGCGACAGGTTGCGCTGGAAGCCCTGTGGACGAAATCTGTGCGAGGCCAGGTGCCCAGGCCCGCCCCACGTGCGGGTGTTATCGAACACGACAGGTGTGGCCGTTCCTTGGAAAGTGCATCCCTTTTGTTGGCCAGAAGCTGAGTGATGGGGTGCAGGGGCCCGGTCTCCGATGATGCGCCGAGGTGTGCGAACATCACCTTTGCTTGCAATGCGCTGCAGAGTCCTTGGAGAAGCGTGGGTCCGGTGCCTTACTTGGCCTTTGGGCTCACGACGGGACCGGCAGTACTGTATCCTAGGAATCCAATCGCTTCGTGGCTTTCCCAGGACACACGTCGTGCAGTGCAAGGCGCGAGCGATTCAGATTGTGTTCCCCGTGTTTTCTCGCTGTGAGAGGCATGCAACGCCGTCACGGAGGTCGACGCGGCCGCGGCGTCGTACCTGGAGAGCCTCTGCTCGCTCTCGCCGTCGTCGAGCCCTCAGCTATGAGCCTCGGCGGAGCACTGTCGCCGGCAAGAGCGATCCCCCCATCCAGCCGTTTCAAAACGAGCAGTCTTCAGGCAGAATCCTGTTCTCGTCTCCACAGCTTATGGCTGTGGAGACGAGATGCTGCACCGATGAATAAGCCAGCGGAACCCCATGCTTGAAGTTCTTTCTGTCAAGGTTGCATCAGCATACGCAGCTTTTCCCGCTCCCTGTTTCAGGAGCATGATGAAAGCTCGTCTCAAAACCCTTGTATACGTTCGCAGCGCTCACGCTGCAGTGTAGTCGTCCCAGCAGTTTGGGCAAGAAGCTAGGAGAAATTGAAGGAAGAAGTCTTTGGGCCGAGGGTGGGTTTGTGGGTATGTCGGACTGTGTTGGGTCAGGTCGACTCGCCTGGCAAGTGGATTTGCAAGCCCTGCTGTTCAGACATCGCGCGGAGATCGCGGCATGTTTGAATCCTTCTGATACCGCGTCTGAAAAAGCGTCAGAATCCAATGTCACTTGGAAATGGGATAAGACATGGCAGATCTCTCTGACGACACGTCCCCAATGGTGCTGCCTCCTCCCATCCTGCAGACCTGGCCTCAGCTGCAACGAGACTACGTCTGCTGCGCTGAATCGCTGCGCAGTAGACGGGCTACCAGACTCGCTAGTTGAATGGCAGTGCCTCTTGGTCTTAAAAAGACTAATTACATGCAGAACTTACTGAACGTTTAGGCCGGCCAGACGCAAAGCAAGGGCCTTAGCTGAGAAGGCTTCTTGCTCGCTCGACCAGGGAGCCTGCTGTTCAGTCGCGGTTCCTAAAGACAAGTCGCCCATCTCCTTGCCAGCTCCCCATCAACGAGACCCGAGCATTTCGCACAGCAGATACAAGGAGCCACGCTGGAGCAACAGAGCTGTAGATGCTCCTGGCACAGAGAGGCGAGTCCTTGTGAGCTTCCCTCCATGAATCTCAGAAGGCTAAAGCTGGCCGCGTTCAGGCTTGGCATGACGAAGCTTGGCGCTGCAGTGCGCAGCCAGCCGAGCTTGGACCCCACTATGGTTCGCATTTCAGGCATGAGCAACACCTGCAAAACAGCTGTGCGCGTGCTGAGGTGTCTCTCCGAACTCTCCGAGCTCCGTCATTGAGAGCATGGAGAAGGTGCCGCAAGGAGACGCCGCATGCCCGGACGTGCGATGTTGTGAGTGCCTTTATAAGTCTGGTCGAGTGGGCGCAAGTCCTAGGCCCGCTGCGGACAGTGCGAGGCTGTTGGGCTGGCAGTATTGAGTACGCTCGCAGCTCGATCTGTTCCTGTGTTGTTTGCCGCCAGGACGGCCCGGCGGAGATTTACTGCGATCAGTGCCAGGAAACCTTCTGCAAAGGACGACTCTTTCAGTTCAGTGAGGAGATGGAGGGCGGGAGGAGTCACAAAGGGCAGGAGAGGCAAAGGAGAAGAGCTGATTTAGGCAGTGCGGGCTCCAGCAGTAGTTCCACCCGTCCGGGCCCAGGCGAAGGGGGTGGTTTTGCGCACCTCGCGGCCACTGGTTGCTCTTGTGACCTCTACTCGTATTGCAGCGGCCGACAGAGCTTGAGCCTCCGTTTGGCTCTTTGATGATGGCCCGCCTACCCGAATGCATATTGCCGGCCCTAAGTTTCATGGTTCACATCGGCATTTGCGTCAGCAGTTGGCTCGTTTCGGCTGAAGTTCAGCTGTGCGCAGTCCTTCAGCTTGCACCAAAAAGCAATTGGTACTCCCATGGCTGTAGATGCCACAGGCTTGGCGGTTCAGTTAATGGAGTTGGGTAGACAATTGAAGTGCTGGTCGGTCACAATGACATAACCAGACTGGTGTACTGTATGACCCTGTTGTCTGCGTCATTCGGTGTGCCGATCCTTGCTTGTCCACATGCCAGCCTGGTGTATGACCCGACAAACCGGCTTGGCCATCAGTGGTGGGGCCGCTTAGGCTTTGGACTCTTCTAGCTTGAGGCGACATTGCCAAGGCAAGAAGTCAATCTCAGCATGGCCGCCAAGGGATACAGTAGACACTGGGCAGTGGTGACTTGCTCGCAATGCCGCTGTGCAGACGGTCGTGTGGAGTACCTTTCTGCCTCATTGCAGTGGATGGTTGTGAGGCGTCGCATCCCGTCCACGGACTTGGGACTCGGGCCAGACCCCAGCATTCCCTGCAACTATAGAGGCATGAAGGAGTTCTGCTGCAGCTCCTCACAGCCCCTGGTGGATGCTGGCGTGTGGGACCCTCGAGGTTCAGGAGTGAGTTGCGCTAGGTGTCCGGGTGCGAGTGCAGGGGAGCCCGTGAGCTTGGGAATCGGGAACGCGAGCACTGTGGCAGACGTTTCGGGCACACGACGTCAATCATTTGCAGTTCACGGAAAGACACCCCGGAGTGCTCGGGGAAAACCGCCTGGGATTTGCCCGATCTCCTATGTTTCGAAGATCTGTTTTCGCAGTGCAGGATGCTCGGATGCTACTCATCGGCGGCGGTCCTGGGTAGTCCATACTGTCCGCGGTCATGGGGAAAGTACTCATTGACCGCTCTAAGGCAGGGCAGAATGACCAAGCACTGTTTGCAGACGGTTACTTCAGAGCTCTGCAAACCAGGTGCAAAGAGTGAAGCACTGCAGTGCCGTTACACCATGTCGTGAGCTGAATCTGCAGGTGCACGAGCACCGCCGATGGCTGCCCCGTCACTGAGCCGACGCTTCCATGCTTGTCCTGAGCATCCGGAGGAGTGCAAGAGTCATCACAGCATGGCGGCTGGAGTCAGAATTCTCGCGATTCAGAAGGAGCCGGTGAACTATTTTTGCTTGGACTGCGAGCCCACGGCCTACTCCCAACTATTGGTTCCTGCTATTGCTGTGCAACAATCCAAGGTCTAGCTGTGTGTGTGTGCTGAATGTTGCCTTCATGGAAAGCATCGTGGGCACTCTGTCCAATGTGTCCTGAAGGCGGGAAGCTAAGCTTTGCAAGATGGCAGGATGTAGCGAAGCTCACACGAGGCTGTTTGCATGTTGCCTGACAGAGCCTGTGCCTCAACAGAGCTGTTGCCTGTCAACGCCTCCATGGGATCTGGTGTAGTTTCTGAGGCAGAGGAGCTGTTGTCGGCCACACGGATCGAGAGCAAGCGTCTGGCAAGCATGGTGAAGCATTTAAGCGAAAAGAGGCACGGGGCTGAGGGTGCTTGGTGCCTTGCCTCTGCCCGAGAAGAGCAGGCTCGAAGCGGCGAAGCTCGTACAGCGAGGTACGGAGGACTCCGTTGTAGATCTTGCATTGCGACCATGCACAGTTAGCCAAGCCACTCGGCTGCTGTCGCCCGTGCTCAAATCTCACAGACCTCACAACAGGACTTGCAGACATCACTGCGAGAAGTGGCCTTGGTCGCACAGAAGGACCTTCACATGCTGAGGGGAGGGTTGCAGCTACTCCTTGTCTGCGAAACTTGGATGCCACCGCAGGAAGAGTCCACACTGATGCAAGAAGCAGACACACGTGCTTCTGAAACAGTGCGGCTGCAGAGGCAGGAGGAACAAAAGGCCCGACTGGATGCGATGGGAGAAACAGGCAGCTTCTTCATGCAACTCAGTGTCTCCAATTCGAAGAGCCTCAGTGGCAGGGGCACCTTGCCGAAGCTTACAGACAGTTATCTGAGCAAAGGCCTCTGCCCGGACTCATGGGCTCGCGTCTGCAAAAGCCCGTGATCTCAAGGTTTTTCCAGGTTGGTGATGCCGTGCCTGCCTTGAAATGGTACGCCCGTCTCCAGAAGGACTGGAGATCGCATTCGCCTGTCCATGATTTGATGCGAGATGGCTTGACAAGGAGTTGCGCTCTCCTGACAGAGTGGCAGGCAAACGACTTCAAGCTCCTGAGCATACAAGACTTCGCATGCGCTTGTGCATCACTTCAAGAAATTATACACGCCGCTCGATCACGCAGTATCGCCGGCAGGCGCAGCTGCTCTTCAGCAGGTGAGGTTGCAGCAAGGAGCCGCTCACAGCGTTGCTGGACAGAGGGGTGCAGGGTGGCCTTGCAAGAGGAGACCTTCTGAGCGTCGCAAGGTTCCTTTTCCCGCACCTGCTGCCGACTTAAGGAGGCCTATACTCGGAGATTGAGATGCGTGCAGATGCCAAAACCGCTGCTTCAGCCAACAAGGTCACGAATCGTGTGGCATCCGTCAAGGCACCACAGGCAGAGGCAGGAGCCCCAGCCGGATTGCTCTCGTGGCTTCTGAAGCCAAGAGAGTGCGGATCAGAACCAACTGTCCAACCAACCAAGTTTACACAACCTAAATGCATTTTTGAACAGCCAAAACCGCCGTTTGCGCAACCAAAACAGACCGATTCAACAACCAAGAAACCAACATCATGACCAAACCTCTCGCATCTGTGCCTGGGCTCCCTTGCGATAGGTCAGGTTAGGGTATTTTGGGTTGGTTGGGTCGGGTTTAGGTTAGATCGGCTTCGGTTAAGCTGGGCCAGGCTCTGCTGTAGCTTAGGTCAGGGGTAGGTTGGAGGTGAGGGTTCAGGTTGGGGTTGGAGGTCCCTTGCTGGGGAGGCTGCGGGGGGGTCTCGCGTCTGGGATTTTGGTTGTCTTAGGTTAGGTTGGCGGGGCCAGGCTAGGTCAGGTGTTGTTGTTTGGCCCCGGTTGAGTTAGGGGGCAGGGGTGTTGGGGTTGGTTGGCAGAGTGTGATGTCAGGGTTGGTTGGGTTACGATCGAGATTAGGTCAGGTTAGGGTGCTCTGGGTTTGGTTGGGTCGGGTTTGTGGAAGATCGGGTTATGTGAGGGTGGGCCAGGCTCGGGTGTAGCTTAGTTTGGTTTGTTTGTGTTAAGTTATGCTGGGTTAGGTTAGCTTGGCGGAACAGGGTGTTAGGGGACGGGAGTTGGGGTTACGATCGGGAAAAGGCAAGGTTAGGAAACTTTGGGTTGGGTTGGGTCGGGTTTAAGTTGGATCGCTAGGTTAGGTTGGGGTTAGGCCCGGGTTAAGTTTTCGGTGTCTTTTCAGGTTGGGGTTGTAGGGTTTTGTTTGCTTGTGTTAGGTCTGGTTGGGTTAGGTTAGGTTATGATCAGAGCTAAACCGGGCTGAGTGGTTGGACGATGCACTGTTTTGGCTCAGCAATCGGCTATTTTCGGTGGGATATATTTCTTGTCATGGTCAGCTAAGCGGCTGTTTTGGTTGCTAGGCGGTTCATTTTGGTCGGACAGTCTGCGCTTTTGGTTGTGCAGATTTCTTCCATTATGTACGATGCGTTGCGCGATCGCTTCGTGTCGCTGTATTGTCTGTCAGGTGATGCTGCCGCCCCAATCTGGGTGATGTCTCCAGCCTGAGGTTGGAATCACGGCACTTTGTTTCTGCCACACATGCATAAGAGTTGTCCTAACAATCATGATGCCTACACCAGCGATTTCTGGACGTGGCAACAAATGCCTTAGGAGTCTAACCCCCGCATGACCTTGTCTCATGTGAAAGTCTCACCATAAAGTCCAAAGTGACGCCCAAAGAGGCATTTCAGGATGTTAACGACATGGCCATTTCGCGGCCATTGCAAGGTTTAAGCACGGGCTGTTTTCCCTCCTCGCGTCGGTGCACGGCATGTGTGCAAGTGCCTGGAAAAGACTCTTGCTTACTCGGAGGAGGAGCTCTGAGACTCTTGAGCTGTTGTAGCCTCATGTACTTAGGCTCCAGGCGCTCTTAAGGAGCGGCACAAGACCAGCCAAGGCATGTGGATGCAGCGGGTAGTGGCAGATCACAATAATCCATGGCAGCAGAGTCGCAGGTGCTGCCACAAGTAGGAGATCTTATGGCATCTGTCGGTCCACGCACTCATTCAACGCGGTACCATGGATTCGCCATGTTTCAAAACGAAGGAGGCGACGTGGCATCTTGACAGCACGTGGGATTGCCTTCATAACAGCTCAGGACCCAGGGACTCGGAGGGGGATTTCATCGCTCCGGATGACACAGGGGGCCTGCTTCCAGAGCTGGAATCAGCCTCAGTTGCACGAGAAGCTGAGTTGGGAGAAGGTGCAGGCGAATCAGACGGAGAGTCGGAAGAGCTCCATGCTCCTCTCGTGCAAGAAAGCTCGGAGCCAGCAGTCTTGAACACCAATGCCGATTTGCTTGGCAGTGTCTTGGTTGAAGATCTCATGTAGTAGCTCGGAGATTTGACCACAGGGACCGGGCCATACTTGCAAGCAATTTCCACACTGCCGTGAACAAAGGTGACAGCGAGTTGTGGGACCACTCCAGTGCAGGGACAAGCAGCAGCGGCAGCGGTGAGTCCGAGGACGGTGGGCTTGTGCACTTCCACCGTGAAGCCGACTTTTTCAGCTGCGTCAGCTGGCAAAGCAAGCCAAGCCACGACACGGGAGGGCCGAGATGCGTAGGCCATCGCAGGCCGCATGCCCAGAAGCGTTTCGAACGTTACAGTTCCTAAACCTCAGTGCAAGAACAGCAGCGGGACAGTGAGTAAACGCAATCGCAAAGATTCGCTTTAACGACAGCAACATGAGAAGTACCGTTGAGACTCGCTTGGGACTCTTCTTAGGCTTTCAGGAATGCCACTCCCCTCGCTGGTCCCAGGCTAGCTTTTCGGGGCTTCAAGCCCAAACCGGGTCTTGGGGCAGCATCCCGCAAGAACGGCAGTAGCGAGCGGCAAGCTCTGCCCCAACGTTGAGACCTCAAATGAACGATCCAGGTAGCGGTTCTTTGGCGGAGGTACTGGCAAAACAGCCTGCGGTCATCAGTTTGCTTGTGCAGTTGTGCAGTTGTGCGGTGCGGTTTGCAGGATGTGGAGTCTTTGCCAGAGGCCGTCTTTTCTTTGGTGTCCGATGTTGGTGTGTATTCTCTACACGCCTCGCATGAGTTGTTACTTCGTGGAAGGCAGTGGATCGCAGCAAGAGGCCACAAGAGCCGGGGCAACCACTGACGAAAGCAACCTGAGCTCCGCAGGCAGGCGTTGAAGGTGCGCGGTGCCGGCACTGAGTTGGCCGAGCCACGGACTGATGGCTCTGGCATGGCAGTTGAAAGACTTCGCTGGAGAGATACAGTCGTGACTCCCGGTAGTGCATTTGACGTCCTGCAGTATCAGATCATCAGTAGAGTCACAGCGTCCGACTGAGCCTCTGCCTTGGTCATGAGGCAGAGCAGACTGGAAGGAGGTTACTTGCTCCCAGCAGCAGAGGAACGCCTGGTCCCGAGGGGTGTGAGCTAATGCTTGAAATTTGGGCTGGGGCTGTGCGAAGTGATTGACGGATCAGGTGAAGAACCCGACAACAAGGGAGAGACCGAAACGAAGGAGGCTGTGGAGCTTTGGATGGTTCGATGTCAAGCCACAACCTGACAGGCAACCAACGACATCGATGAGTTGCCTGCAGAGTATCGAGCTCGCACCTTGGAGCGCTTGGGGTTGGAGAGCGGGACACAGCAGAGCCTGCATATGCTCCGTTGTTGACCGCTGTGTGGACGGGCGGGGGGGGGGGGGGGGGGNNGGGGGGGGGGGGGGAGCAGAGGCAACACAACTCGTTGGAGCGGGTGTGGAGGATTCGTTGTTGTCTGAGGCGGCTAGTCGGCGACGGCGTGATGGCTTGGACATGACGGCTGTACTGTCGAAGAAGAGGCCTGCCACAAGAGAGCTGAAGAGCCAGCATGAAGGAAGTGAAGCGAATAAATGCGAGACGCTGATCGGTTGTTAGTTAGGCAGTCGCAAGAAGAATGCACCCAAGTCCCTCGAGAGCAGCTGAAGAAAGACCCCGTGCGGAGCCCAGCTGCAGCATTGATGCCTTCCGCGGGGTTTATGTCGACTTGTAGTTGCCAAGGCATCGGCTTTCCGGCTATCCTGGGAAGAAGACGACGAGTTTCCAATCTTCTTAGTGCTCCATCAGCACTTGGAAAGCATGCGAAGGGGAGCTTGCTCAAATTCTTATTTATAAATTCCGCGCGCATGCGTCCATTGTGCGCATTGTGGTTGAAGTGCTTCTGATTTAAGGGTTTTTTCATTTCAAGTTTTGGGGTGTGCGGCAGGCGAAGTGTCCAAGCGCGAAGCACATTCGCGAATCCTGGGGGTGCGAAAGTCGCGGCCTCCGTGCATGAATACACTGCATGAGTGCCCGATTCCACCACATCCGTGTGCGCATGATGGAGCTTCGGTCGAGCCTGAATCGTTACGTGACTCGTTCTCGCGACCTATCTTTGGAACCCGCTGCCTATCCTGCATGCATACCATCCTCTATAGTGATCAGTTGGGGGCTGAGACACCGGTCACCTCGTCTTCTGCCTGATTCGTATCGTAGAGGTGCAGGCGACACTGGATCATGCGCAGCTCGATAAGGCAGGAGGGCTGCAGTGGGTGAATTTACTGTCCGGACTCATGACCCGGCAGGCAGTGCTCCACTACAGGTCACTACCGCCGGCAGAGTTCGTGCCTTAGCCTTTTCCTATTCTCGAGTGCCAGAGCCCAGCTTCGAGCCAAGATCGCGAAGATACCACTGCTTGGTGAACTTGGCCTGCTGCCTGGTGTCCTTGAATCAGCCACGTCCTGCCCGGGCTTTGCTGGAGCAGGCAGGGCTGTGTTCCTCGGTGCTGACTTCATTGGTTTGCTTTTGCTTCTGTGTACATGCTTGAGCTGAGGGGCTTTCAGGAAGAGCAAGTGTGCCTTTCTGAGAGCTGATGGAATCACGCTCACTTGTGATGTGGCCTTTCCAACAATGGCAACCGTCATCCATGTTTCTTGATGAATCGTATCATATGCCAATTGTCAATAGTTCGCCTCTTTCGATCCGCCGATCTTGTGATGAGACTCCCCCTTCCGAAGAGTTTGGATATGAGTGCCTTTCAAGTTTCTTTTCGGGTTGGCTTAAACTATGCCTACACTACTCCCTTCTCGTTCTGGGGCTCGGGGTCTTGGCACTCATCCCCTTGTGACTTCTAGCGTTGGCATTGTCCTCTCTTTTTTGGGATGCTTGGCAATCCACTAATCCCTTTGGGTTTGTTTAGGAGAATAGGGTTTCCCCCACCCCTCACTCCGTTCTTTGCAGTTCAGCGAGTTTTGCAACCCTCCCGGCCCCCAAGCCCCAACCGATGAATGCCCGGGTGCAACGGCCCACGATCGCGCACTGTAACGACAGAGTAAGAGAGTAGCGCGGTCTACTGCATGAAGGCGAAAACCCACCTCCGCTTCTGCTCTCCACACCCAGTCCGCATTCTCCAGGCGTAGAATTAGAACAGACCGCATTTCCTACAGTTTTTCGAGAGGCATCCTTACATATCTGGTGTTCCGAGCTGTTTATGCATGCCTATCCATCCATCCATCCATCCATCCATCCATCCATCCATCCATCCATCCATCCATCCATCCATCTGTCCATCTGTCCATCTGTCTGCCTGTCTACCTGTCTATCTCTCTATCTCTCTCTCTCTCTCTGTCTATCTCTCTATCTCTTTATCTCTCTATCTTTCTCTCTCTCTCTCTCTCTATCTCTCTCTCTCTCTATATCTCTGTGTCTATCTCTCTATCTCTCTATCTCTCTATCTCTCTCTCGCTCTCTCTAGCTCTCTCTATCTATCTATCTATCTATCTCTTTCTCTATCCATCTATCTCCCTATCTGTCTATCTATCTCTCTCTATCTCTCTATC